GGAACTTTTGGACTCCAGAGGATTTACTGAACTTTGGGATTGAGTGTGCAGACTCTGACACCTAAACTCCAAAGAAAATGGGCCCCCATATTTTCAAGTGTACTAGTGGAAGGCACAGATAGCTGGAAGGGTAAGTTGTAGCCTCCAAATTAAAAATGGTTTCCTGATCCTCTAAGCCATAATATTTGGGACAGTTGGCCTGTAGTGTTGCATAAGTCTAGCCATTATGTTTTACTGTATAGCCAACAGTAAATTCTAAAACAGTTAACCAACCAAGGATTAACCAGAGCTGAGCCAGCTAAGCTTCCAAAATTAGCTGAGTCAGCTAAGTGCTCCCTCCTGCTGAGGCTATATTCTGAAGGAAAACATTATTTCATTTATTATTTATTTGCAATATTTATAATCTGCCCCAGTCTTGGAGGACTCTAAACAATATAAAGCAAAATAATACACATAACCATAAAACCCTAAACTCCACCACTGCCGGTCCTAAGTCTGCATGAGAAAGGGGGAAGGTTAGGCATTGGGCTAGCAACCTGAAACCCATTTTTTTTCTCTGCTGTCGAAACAACAGATGCAATTAAATGAGATCTGATCACAATAGTTGGAGAGCAATCATTGCCCAACATGCTGGACAGTACAGGTGGAACTAAGTTGAAGTCTAACTAATAAAATGCCAGTATTAAATATAGAAGATCCAATATCCCATTTTGAGCCACTAAGGGCCAGACACTTGCTGAAATAATACAGCCTTGTCTTGCTTACAGTATATTAACAAGGTAGGGGCTGCATATACCTTGCAGGGGTAGGTAGGGGTTCTATAAAGTGGGGGTTGCTACAGGGAAGACCTGTTGTCTAGACCATACTCCTCCAACCTCACTAAGTCAGGTAATGTTCAACAAACCCTCTTAAAATCACTAGACTGAATGGGCATACCTATTCCTTGTAAGGCACTGCCCGTTAAATTCAGGTGCTGTAGAGGGCTTTAAAGAACGGTAATGACCAACTGGGCCTGGAAGACTGCTGATAACCAATTCAGTGACTAATATAGGTGTTACATTGATGGGATTCTCCAACAAAAGTCTTGACACCTCATTTTGTACCAGCTGTAGCTTCTAAGTTGTATGCAAAGGCAGCCCCATCAAGAACACATTGCAGTAGTCTGAACAGGAGCTGAGGGTCCAGAAGGACTCCCAAGTAATAAACCATCATCTTCAGAGGAGCACCCCTGCATCCAAAGTAACTACCAGGACCAATGATGATTCCTGAAGAATAGCAGATCTGCCTCAATAAGATTTGAGTTTGTTTCACCTGATCTAGTTCCTGACACCTTCATATACCAGTTCAGGACTTCTACACCATCTCTGGCTTGACTCTTCATCCCAAGCTGATGAATTACCTCTCCCATTAGTTTCATGTAAATGTTCAACAACATGGGGTAGAGTACAGATTCTGGGACTCCAGAGTGGAGTCCCATGAACTGGAGTGCTTCCCCCACATAGCCACTGACTGGAACTTCCCACTCAAGTAAAAGCAGAACCATTGTAAAATGGTGCCTCCTACTCCCAACCCTTGTAGGTGTTCCAGAGGAATAACACAGTTGTATTGAAAGCCACTGAAAGGTTTAACAGGACCAAGAGAGGTGTACTAGCTACATCTAAGTCCTGAAGTAGGTACCACCAGAGGAACCACTGCTGTGTCTAACCCATGACCGGGCCTGAATCCTGACTGAAAAAGTTCCAAATCACCAGTTTCCTCTGCAATGCTCTGTAGCTGATTGCCCACCAAATTCTTGACAAACGTGCCCCAAAATTGCAGGTAGAATATGGATCAAAATTGTCAAACACAGGCAGTTCTAGGGAAGGCCTCTTCAAGAGAGGAGGCCCTACTACTTCCTTCAAAGGAGGCAGTGTTATTCCTTCCCTTGAAGAAGCATTTATTATCTCCCAGAGCCAGTTGCTCACATCCTGTCTAGCCATCTGAAGGACTCAATATTGTGACATACAAGGACAGTTTTTTCTTAAAGGATTGGTCAACTGGAAGTATCACTACTATATACATTTGGTAATTTTAATTTTCTGCCATCTCAATACTAAAATCAGGCAAACAGAGACATCACTGTTTGTTCCTTGGGGTAACAAGTAAATATTTGGAATAATGGATTCTTTGATACAAGTGGAATTATTTCATCTTATAATTTATTTCTGAGATGAGCCTTTGAGGATGGGCACCTGATATAAGTGGGGAAAAGACTCATCCTCATCCTTGTATATCTTCAAGAGTGCAATGGGGCATACTTACTGATAACATTTCAGGATTGGTAAGTGACCATGTGAAGAAATTGATCATTTGATCAATGTAGCAAAGGAAGTAGATCAAACCTAAGTAAAAACTTAGTTAACCATCTTTCCATCCATCCACTAGGAGCTACAATGGGGGTATGTGGGGATCTCTTTTCATAGTATCAACCCAAGAACCACCATGTGAAATAGGTTAAGTCAAGACAGTCATCAGCATGTCCCTTAGACTCCCTAAAATAAATCTTATGTGGGCATGGTTTAAAAAAACCATTTCAAGTTATACATATAGTCTCCCACAAGGTGGCATTCTATCATAGGATTTTTTTTCCTGTGCCCCCTCCTTTCCTGGCAAAGCCAAGCCTACCTTAAAATAAATAAAATTAAGCCCCTATTTCATCTCTATCTAGACCTCTGATAGGGATAGACAGGTTCCCCATCCCTAAGGCAACAAACTGCAAAACATTCCTTTTGCGAGAAGTAGGTCATGATTTTTGTGTGTATACATAGCTTGATGGGCATGGAGTCTAGGACATCTATAATTTCTTTAATTTATTAGTCATTGTTCAACAATACAACATTCTGCAGTTACTTGAGTTAACCAGAGTTATTTGCTTTCTGCAGTCAAGCATCCAGTTGTGGGTGGATGGCTCTGCCCATGGGCAGAAAAAGGGGCAATGTACATGATATTTGTCCATTCCAGTTATATGATTCAGTATAATAATAATTCATCCGCTGATGTCAGGTAGCTTTTTCAGGGGAGCTGGTGTAAGGAGGAGCTGATGGCGCTCTTCAGATTAATGGTAAAAAATACCCAATCCAGCAGCACAAGCTTGGTTCGGGAGCTGCAGTTATCACTGGTATACATTTTATTCAGACGTCAGTGAGGTGATGAAAGATCTTACTTAGGTATCATCACACTTAACGGCAATTATAAATCTCTAACAAGTGTTCAGTGTTCATTGATCGATAGCGTTAACAAAACTCCATTGGGAAAATTACTTAATTTGTGATGGAAGCAATAGCGCAACGCTCTGTTCTCGCGAATACACGCTATCCTCACCAAACCCGAATCCCGGCCCTCAAGCACGAATCTCTCTTGCGCACACGCACACAGAGGCACGCACGCAGTAGAAAGACTCACATAGGATTCCAAGAGGCTGCTGACATCTGAGCGCATCTTCCTCAGGAGATGGACGGTGCGACGACATGAGTCCTGGTGTTGGGAGGTCACGGGGTGCCGCTCCGAGGAAGCCATCACCCGGAGGGCACAGCGGAGCCGAGGCGCCGCTCGCGCGAGGAAAACTGTCTGGAGCCACGGAAACCCCTTGCTCAGCTCCGAAATTCCACCGCGAGCGAGAGAATTCTTCCCTGGTGCGCCTGGCTGGCGCGCGCGCTCGCTCGCTCTCCTTCCGTCCCCCGCGGCCTGAGGAGAAACTGCACATTCCAGCCGCGAAGCTTAACCCTCTGAGAGCAACGCGGGCGTTTCGGTCACCTCCTGGCCCTTTTTTCGCCCCCGGTGATTTGCTCGCTCGCTCGCTCGCTCGCACCTCTAATCTGTACGCTTTTCTACGGTTTTGAGTTTGATTGGCGAATAGCCCCGTCCATGGCCCGCTAATCCTTGTAAATTCAATCCAGGAAATCTAAATCCACAATCAGGACACAAAAGGAATTCAGAGGCACCTTTGAGTCCCCTTTAAGCAGGATTTATTTTCCAATTGTGAAATAAAGGCGCTTCGTGTCAGTAAACCATTCACAACCTTGCTGTTTTGGAGAACATTGGTAATATGAATCTGGCCTGTTTTAGGCACAGCCTGATTGATGCTGTTGTAGCACTGTATTGTCTTACAATCTTCTCCAGTTTCCTGTTTCTTGGCTCAGAAAATTTATTTATTTATTTATTTATTTATTTGTCTGTGTGTGTGTGTGTGTGTATATATATATATATATATTTCAAATTTAGATACCGCCCATCTCACAAAAAAGTGACTCTTTTCAACCAGGTAGGTGTTAAACAGAGGAGGCAGCACTTTTCCCTCCTTCCAGCCAACTTGAAATAACATTGCTCAGATACAGAGTTGGAAGAAAAATATTCGTTTTACAAATTTCTATCTTGCCCATTCAAATGATGCTGTGTGGTATACAATCTAAAAATCAATATAAAACATATTCCCTAAAGAACTCCTCTCAGCTTCCCACAAAGACCAACCCAACCTATTAGAACAACAGCCAAACATAGCCCAGTTGCTTCCAAATGCTTTGAAGAGATTGGGAAATGGAAATTGAGCTGTGGGATATCAGTCCCCTGAGAGATCAATTTGACCACTGGGTCACATGCCTTTGAAACCCTTAGAAACCGTCTGGCACAAATATAGCAGCCAACTTGCTCCAGAACCACTAGGACACCTGATCCTTCTATTATAGCACATTGGCTGTGTTAAACCATGATTTACAGATCACAATGGCTATTCTAAGCTGAACAAATTACGTCCTAATTATTCTGTGAGGCAAGCCAGCATGGTAAGCCATCCTGTCATTTGTTTTAGCTTAACACGTTGCTGGAAGGAACACAGCTATTGTTCTTTGTAATAGTTGAGCATATTGTGCAAACCCAGCCTCTTGCTGGCTATTGAGCCATTTCAAGAACAATTCAGTGCTGCAGATAACTTATAATGCCATGCACCTCTCAGGATCAGGCTATTTGAAATATGATATTTCCCAATCTGAGTTCTAGCATTTTCTAGACCAGGAATGGGTGATGTGTGCCCTCTGAGCCCTGCTCATGCAGTCTCTGAAGTCCCATCTGAACTTAAATGCTGAAAATCAGTGGCATCTTTTCTCTACCATTTTGAGGTACAAAACTACAATGCAGGCTAATCCTATTTAAACAAGGAAAAGGTCTAAATCCCAATTCTCATAAAAGACATGGAAAACCCCAGCTGCGTCTGGCCATGTATTTAATATACCCTTTCCCACTTTGCATCAACTCACCAGTTGTAGCAATTGGGCCACCAAAAAACATTAGGGGAGGCTTTTGTTCACCAAAAGGCATCACTCACTCTTGTTCCAGATAGACCAACTTCTCTGCCCTACCGCTACTGGGGGCACGTTTGGTGGAAATAGAAGATACAGTGTTTTGGTGGCTGTTTCCAGATCTGGCTAACTAGATCTCAGTGCCAAGCTAACATACCTGCTGCCCTTGTAAGGGTAAACAGAAACATTTTTATTCGGGAAACATTTAGCAGTTAAGTTCAGTCATTCTTAAGCATTCTCCAAAGAACCTGAACAGGTTTCATAAGTACCTTTAAAAGCCCTAAAGGTTCTACTACTTTTTCTTCAGTTTAACTTTGTGAAAAATGGGTTTTTGAGCACTGACTATATGTAAGACCAGATACTGAAATTAGGAATGTGCAAATCATTCAAAAGAGGAGTGAGCAACGCAGCCTTCCTTAAAGCATCCATATCTTTTGGATGGCTTCAGCTGCTTCAAAGGTTGTTCCTTGCTGTTTATGCACTTGTATGAAGAGAAAGCTGTTTGTGCAGAACCCTAACTGAACTAGACTGAATGTTTCACCAACTCTATCTTTAACAAATCTTACCCAGACACTGGTGAAATGTGCAATCATAGGCAAATTCATACATTCAGTACCATTTACAATCAACATATAAAATGTAAGGGAAAATAACAATACAGTGGTACCTCTAGTTACAAACGCCCCTCCTTACGAATTTTTCGAGATACGACCAGTTCCAGCCCCAAAAATTTACT